TTTAGTCTCAACGTATGTAGAGTCTCCCTTTATATAAAGAAGAAAATGGGCCAAAAGCAAGCTATAGTGTTAATACAAGACGGTGGTTGGGGGCTGGGCAGCTCGGATGATCACCTTCTAACATGCCATACAATCCACTCCTATTGCTTATTACTTCTCTCCTGCTAAAATGTCAGCTCCACCAGGGCCAACCAGACTCTGTTGGATTTTTTTTTTTTTTGGCTCTGTTTTGTCAAATGCCTAGAACAATGCTTGACACACAGTATCTGCTCAGTTAATACCTATCCCTGAGTGAATGAATCACCCGTTTGTTTCCTATTCAGCCACTCTCCCCTCCAGAAAAGATGCAATTAATTTCCTTGTTTATTTAATATCTTACCCTCCCCACTAGACTAAGTCGCAGGAGGAAGACATCTCCCATCTTTATCCTTGGCCTGGAGCCAGTCATGAAGCATTTTAAAATCTTGCTGCAATTCAAGCAGAGAGAAAGGGACCCTGGAGCGAGACTCAGGCCTATGGGGGAGGGCGCTCCTCCCACCGCTCCTCCCCGCCACGGTCCAGGGGGTCTGGGTGCAGGGCTGTCACTGACCGGTGAAGGATGAGCAGCAGGTAGAGGAGGCCAGTGGCAAAGGCGGCACATAGGTAGGTGATGGTCAGGTGTGAGCGGGGCGGGTAGAACCCGTAGAAGAGAGGAGACCATTCTAGAAAGCCCTGCGGAAGGAAAGGCAGGACGAGGGGGCTCAGGGAGCGGGGGCGACCAGGGTCGGGGGTCCCTGAGGGTCCCGGGACCCAGGCACGCACCTCTCCCGAGAGCAAGTTGAAGAGCTCGGTGGCGAAGGTGACTAGGCCGTGGGAGCCGGGGTTGTAGGAGCCGCAGGGCGAGGAGGCGTTCGGGGCAGGGGGACCCGGGGGAGTCCCCTCCAACCAGGTGGGCAGCAGAACCATGCAGGCCGTCAGCACCGAGGCCAGCACGTTGAGAAGCAGCAGGAAGCGCAGCAACGAGAAGTAGGACTCGGTGCCGGCGCCAAACTGTCCTGCAGGGGGCAGCAGAGAGGCCGCGGGCTCCGCTCCGGGTCCGGTCCCGGCCCGCCTCCCTCGGACCCGGGGGTCCAGCCCCCAGACCCTCCTCCCTCAGGCCCGGGCGTCCAGCCCCTCCTCCCTCAGGCCAGGGAGTCCAGTTCTGCCCCAAGTCGCCAGCCTAGCCCCATCCCCCGTACCCCCGATCCTCTTCAGCGTCCACGCCCAGGGCTGCAGGGAGCGCAGGCCTTCCCGCACCTTCTTCTTGGACCTCCGAATCAGCCGAGTCCATTGGGCCCCTGTGGACCCCGCGCCCTGGGCCACTCGGTCCCTGGCTAGTCTCTGTCTGGGGCGGGGAAACAGAGTCAAAGACAGAAAAGCAGGGGCCTAGCCGCCCCAGATGGAAACCATCAACAGGGAGAGGCAACCCAGTGGTTGCACGAGGAAGTAGTTTACTGTGTATTCCTAACAGGGGATACTCCATAGCAACAAAAAGAAACACATCTAATGCTAAGCATAAGACAGAAAATACAGACTGCAGGGTTCCATTTACAGAAGGACCCAGAGCAAGCACAAAGTGTTCAGGGATGCACACACAGATGGCGAAGCTGTGAAGAAAAGCAAGGAAGTGATCCTCTGCAAAAGTCTGGGAAGGAGATGGGGGTGCCCCAGGTGGAAGTTATCTGGATCCTTGCTTTGGGAAAACTCTGTAAGCCTCTGCATGATATCTCATGCACTTTTCTGTCAGCAAATATCATCATAAAGTTAAAAAATAGGTAGGTGTGATATTGTGACTTACAATAAGAAACATATTTCGTAGTGTATGATATCCCATGTGGAATCTAAAAAAATTGAACCGAGAGTTCCCTGGCGGTCCAGTGGTTAGGACTCTGCGCTCACTGCTGAGGGCGGAGGTTCAATCCCCGGTCAGGGAACTAAAAATCCCACAAGCTGCACTGAACGGTCAAAAAATGAAATGAAATGAAGTAAAATAAAAAACCGAACTCAGAAGAGAGTAGGATGGTGGTAACCAGGGGGTAGAGTAGGTAAATGCTGAAGTTGGTCAAGGAGTACAAACTTCCAGTTAAAAGGTGAATGAATTCTGGGAATCTAATGTAGAGCTGGGTGATCATAGCTCATAATGCTGCACTGTATACTTGAGGGTTGCCAACAGAGTAAGTGTTCTCACCACAGAAAAACAAACAGTAATTATGTGATGCGTGGAGATGTCAGCTAGCAGGACTGTGGCAATCATTTTGCAACATATAAGTGTATATGTAACACTGTACACCTTAAACTTATAAGATGCTATCTGTAAACTGTATCGAAGTAAAGCAGGGGGCAGGGAGGACTTCCCTGGAGGCCCAGTGGTTAAGATAAAATAAAAAGAATTATATTATTTGGGCTTTGTCTTATTGGCACAGGGCTCCTAAAGCCTAGAATTTCCTAAGTGGTGAGAGTGACAAAGGTGTCCTTTTTATGTCTCCAGGTAGATAGTGTCATAGTTGAGTTGCATTGTTGGACACCCAGCCAGAGTCAGAGCATTGCCTGGCGGGAGGGAACCTCCCCACACCTTGGGACTGTGTCCAGATTATATAAGGAGCAAGGGTCAGTGTCAAGGGTCACCTGAGGAGCAGCCAGGGCCCTGTTCTCGGAAGGGCCTCCGGCTGACTTTCACTGCTGTGCCATATGAGTAGTAACTGTGGAACGAGAGACCTGGCTTTCACTGGGTCCTGCACATTATGCAGCAGGACAGGGAAAAGAAAGACGTTAACAGAGTGGTAGGAGGCAGAGACCGACATAAAGCTCAGAGAGAGAGAAAGAAAAAGTGAACCACAGATTTCAGACGGAGGCAGTCAGGCTTGGAGGGAAAAGAGACACAAGACACTGGAACCTGTGAGAGAGCACCAGGATCCTGCAGACAGGACTCCTTGGAGCCTGAGAAGCTCCAGCACAGCCGGGGGTCAAGGAGACCCAGAGGGGCGGCCGGGGGAGACGCAGGGACCGACGGAGGGCTGGAGCAGGGGGTGGAGCGGCCAGCCGGCAGGCAGGGGGCCGAGGCCTGGCGGGGACGGGAAGGTGGCCTCACCTGTGTGCCCGCCTGGCCTGCATGGGCCACGGCAGTTCCCGGGAGGGGCCAGGCTCCGGCAGCTCCTGATGTGTGGCGTCTGCGGAGGTCTGCATGCTTCTCCATGCTTCCTCATCCTCATCCTCCTCAGCCCCCCAGGGCAGCACCCCAGGGCCTCGGTACCGAAGGGTGGCAGCGCTGGGCAGCTCATTCAGCACAGAGGACAGCGACGGGCCTGGGCAAGGACAGGGTGCTGGGAGGGTCCGGGGTCCAGGCCCCACGCCTCTCCCCTCAGACCCGGGGGTCCAGGCCCCAGGCCTCCCCCGTCAGACCCTGGGGTCCAGGCCCCACGCCTCCCCCCTCAGACCCGGGGTCCAGGCCCCAGGCCTCTCCCCCTCAGACCTGGGGTCCAGCCCCACGCCCCTCCTCCCTCAGACCAGGAGGTCCAGGCCCCAGGCCTCCCCCTCTCAGACCCGGGGGTCCAGGCCCCAGGCCTCCCCCCTCAGACCGGGGGTCCAGCCCCACGCCTCCCCCCTCAGACCCTGGGGTCCAGGCCCCACGCCTCCCCCCTCAGACCCGGGGTCCAGGCCCTCATCCGCTCCTCCCTCAGACCCGGGAGTTTGAACCCCAGCCCTCCTCCCCAGACCCGGGAGTTTGGACCCCAGCCCCTGACACCGCCCCTCCGCGCCCCCGCCCTCCAAGCACCCAAGCGAGGCCGCTCCCGCCTCAGGCTGAGGGGTGGGCTCCGGACTTCCTTCCCGGGACTCGTCGGGCCCCTCCCGCCTCTAGCGCTCTCCGCCTCCCAGGCTCTGGGTCTGCGCGCTCCTCCCGGGAGCTCGAGGTCCCGGCCCCTGGGTCCCCTCTGCCCCGGGCGGGGCCCCGGTTCTTCGCCTCCCCCAGGCCGTCTCCCCGCCAGACGGACCGGACCCGACCTTCTCCAGGCCCCCCACCTGTTCTGGCCGCCCGGGGCGCCGGCCGCCCCTCCGCGGAGCCCCAGGCCTCCGGGTCCCACTGCGGGCGCTCCTCCATGGCCCGGCCGCCGATCCGTTTCCGTCTCCAGGGCCCCCCGAGCGGGGACCGCCCCGGGCGAGGGCGGGGCCTGAGGCGGGCGCGCACCTGGCCGCCAGGTGGCCCGGAGGCAGTGCCCGCTCCTTCCCGGAAATTTCAGGGCCGCTGCTGGCAGGCCTCCTGGGAGCCGGGGCCCACAGAGGCCCGGGCGGTGACACCTCGCGGCGGGGTGCTGGAGATATGCGGTCCCCCCACCCTGGCTGACCGTCCACAGACATCCCACAGAGTCTCCGTGTGACACTTTATTGGGAAAGATTTACACATTCTGAGCCTGTCCCAGGCCCGGGGATGACAGGAGGCTACAGGAGCGCGGGGACCCTTGGCTGGCTCAGATGGAGCCCACGAAGGCCAGGACGTCCGCACCGCGGCTTCTCCCTTGCAAGAGGGTCACACTCCGTGCGGGTCCACCGAGAGGACGTGGAGCGAAAGCGGCCAGAAAGCGCCCACCTCCCCCCACCCGACCCCTGGACCCGCCCCGAGGCTCCGACCCCCACACCGTGCAGCCATCTGCCCAAGAAGCCCTGTGGCCCGTCGGCCCCGGTGCGGCGGGAGACACAGCTCTCTGAACAGCAGGCCCTGGGCAGGGACAACGGAGAGTCTCTCTGGGCATTTATCTTGATTTTTACGGGAGGGAAAACTGATCACCGGGGCGGGGGTGGTGGCAGCCAGGGAAGCAGGAGCGCCCCTGCCTTGTCCTGCCAGGCAGGCCGCTGAGCCGGGGAATCCTCTCCAGGCCCCTGGCCAAATTCCAATCTCTTCCTGGGAAGGGCGGCGGCAGCCTGGTTCACGGGATTCCCAGACCAAAGCGCAGGGGTCGGACGAGCGGCAGAGGGCGTGTGGCGAGGGCTCACTCTTCCCGGAGCTTTCCCGAGGCCGGGCTGGGGGCTGGGGCCGCCGACTTCCGCCGCCCGGGTCCGCCGCGGCCCAGGGCCAAGCCCAGCGCCAGGGCCGCCAGGGCCAGGACGTGCACGCAGAAGTAGACCGAGGCCCAGTAGCGGAGGGTGTCGCGCAGCGACAGCAGCACGAAGCCCATGCACATGTAGTCGTAGGCCCGCATCTTCAGGAACCAGTGCACCCAGTCCCAGGCCTTCTGGCCCCGGGGACCCAGCCGCCACCGAAGGGCGGACTCCAGCTGGCCCTCGGCTGCCAGGCACAGCGGGATGGTGAGGAAGCTCAGGTAGTAACCAGGATGCAGGCCGTGCCAGTAGGCGCTCAGCAGCATGGTCCACGCACTCCTGCGGGGGGCAGGGTGGGAGGGAATCAGGGCCTGGGGTGCAGACCCCGGCCTCCCCCCTCAGACCCAGGGGTCCAGGCCCCCGCCCCTCCTCCAGACCCGGGAGTCCAGACGCCCCGCCCCTCCTCCAGACCCGGGGCGTCCAGACCCCCCGCCCCTCCTCCAGACCCAGGGGTCCAGACGCCCCGCCCCTCCTCCAGACCCGGGGCGTCCAGACCCCCCGCCCCTCCTCCAGACCCGGGGGTCCAGACCCCCCGCCCCTCCTCCAGACCCGGGGGTCCAGACCCCCCGCCCCTCCTCCAGACCCAGGGGTCCAGACGCCCCGCCCCTCCTCCAGACCCGGGGGTCCAGACGCCCCGCCCCTCCTCCAGACCCGGGGGTCCAGGCCCCCCGCCCCTCCTCCAGACCCGGGGGGTCCAGACGCCCCGCCCCTCCTCCAGACCCAGGGGTCCAGGCCCCCCGCCCCTCCTCCAGACCCGGGGGTCCAGACTCCCCGCCCCTCCTCCCTCAGACCCAAGACTTCCAGATCCTCAGCCCTTTCTCCCTGAAACCCAAGGGTGCAGACCCGCAGCCTCTCCTCCCTCAGATCAGGGGTCCAGGCCCCAGCCTCCTCCCTCAGAACCAGGAGTCTCTACTGTCTTCTCAGCAACCCCCTCCCAACACTCTTCCCTCAGGCCCTAGGAATCAAGTCTCCGCCACTTCCTCTCTAAGGATTTGAGGATCTAGGCGTATAATTCCTGGTCCACAAAGACTCAGACATCTCCAGCCACGGTCCCTTCTCCTTACTGATTCCAAACATGCTAGCCCGTGAAGACCCACAGATTCAGGCTCCAACCCTCACTTCCACGGGGTGCCCACAGTCACAGCAGCGTCGGCTAAAGGTCTGAGTTCCTGCCCACGGGCACCAAGGTTGGCCTCTGGCATGTCCGGGTGCTTAGAGTACAATACGACCCTGATGCTGGGGAAGAATGAAGGCAGGAGAAGGGGGCGGCAGAGAACGAGATGGTTGGAAGGCATCACCGACTCGATGGACACGGGTTTGAGCAAGCTCCAAGAGATAGTGAAGGACAGAGAAGCCTGGTGTGCCGCAGTCCATGGAATGGCAAAGAATCAGACATGACTCAGTGACTGAATGACAACAGAAAACTCAGTGAAGGGAACTGTGTGGGGGTAGGTGAGGGAGGGCGCAATGTCCATAAAAAGGCTAAATTCTCCCTGTTGTTGACACGGGAGATGTTTCCCTCCTCTTTCCTTAGGCCATTTCCTTGAAGAAAAAAAAAAATCTACTGTTTGAGCATCTTTCCTTTGTCCTTTGGATGCAGATATCAATCTCTGAAAAGGTGAAAGAGGCCTCTAGAAATTGTTACTGCCCAGGAATGTTTTCCTTGAGGGCCTGGGAGCCATCTCCCTGCAGCTGTGGGGCTTTATCCCACTGGTGACAGAGATAGGAGGTTTGTTGATAAAGACCCTTAACTAGCACAGGTGGCAAACAAGTTGCCAGGTGAACTTCAGATGAACCTGGAAGCAGGCAGTGCTGTGTGTCTCTTGAGAGCATGCTATGCACAGGGCTGTAAGTGGCAGTGGCTAGTAAAAAAAGAGAGGTTTCTAGACAACTGATAAGGACCATGGGCTTCCCTGGTGGTTCAGGTGCTAAAGAATCTGCCTGCAGTGTGGGAGACCTGGGTTTGACCCCTGGGTCGGGAAGACGCCCTGGAGAAGGGAATGGCTACCCACTCTAGTATTCTTGCCTAGAGAATTCCATGGCCAGGCCATGGGGTTGCAGTCAGACGCCACTGAGTGAAGAACACTCCCTTTCAATAAGGACCTACTGTATATCACAGGGAACTCTGCTCAATACTTTGTGATGACCTTTATGGGAAAAGAAACCAAAAATGAATGGATACGTGTATATGTATATAACTGGTTCACTCTGCTGTACCCCTGAAACGAACACAACTCTACTCCAACTTAAAAAATCGAAATCCAACTCCGTGTGTGCACAGCCAGCTCTTGGCCCCTCCCTCAGCTACTACTCTCTCCCAGTTTCCGGGCCGCCGCCCTCCCCCATGCAGTGAACACTCTCCTGAGAACCTTCTAGCTTCCCAACTCCATCCTCTCTTGAACCCACTCCAATCTTGCTTTCACTTCACCTTGCAAGGATGCGGGGGACTTCCTCCCACCATGCCCCCCCCCACCCAGGGTCACACTTGCCCTCGCCCCCCTGGAGCTCCTGGCATGGGCAGACACACCCTCCCTCCTGCCCCTCCTTCTTGACATCCTCGCTCATCTGAAGGGAACGAAGGAACGATCGTCCTCCTATCTCCCTGGCTGCGTCTGCACTGGCCCCTCCTCTGGCTCCCAGTCTATACCAGGGCCCCTAATTGTTGGCACTACAGACATCTGGGGCTGGGTCATTCTTCAGGATGGGTGGGGGTGGGCGTTTAGGCCTCTGCCTACTAGACTCCATTATGATAAAGTGTCTCCAGACATGCCAAATGCCCCCTGGGGGCGCAGCACAATTGCCCACCCCCGACCCCCCCATTGAGAGTGTCCCCGGGGCTTCCCTGGTGATTCTGATGGCAAAGAATTCACCTGCAATGCAGGAGACATGGGTTCAATTCCTGGGTCGGGAAGATGCCCTGGAGAAGGGAATGGCAACCCACTTCAGTATCCTTGCCTGGAGAATCCCATGGACAGAGGAGCCTGGTGGGCTACAGTCCATGGGGTCGCAGAGGGTCAGACACCAGTGAGCAGCTCAGACATCGAAAATCCCTGGTCTAAATGTGGGTCCACTCTGTGCTTTGACCCCAGAGCTTTAAGCACCATCCACAGCTGACGATGCTCACGGGTCCACTTCTTACAGCAACCTCTCCCTAACACACCAGAATCACATAACTCGGTGTCTATGCAATCACCCCGGCTGGAAATCCAACCATCACCTCAAACTCAATGAGACTAAACCCAAGTCTAGCTTCCTTGGCCTGCCAGCTTCTGAAACTTCCTCCTGCGCAGACTTCCTCTCCTTCATCACCCTCGCCCACCACCTGGGCACCCCGCTGCATTTCCTCTCACTCCCCCTATCCAGGTGGGGGCTGAGCCCTGACCTCACCTCTCCAGTTCATCCACTTCTGGCCACTGGTCCCTACTCTAGGCCACCATCAGTGCCCACCAGGCCAATCCCTGCCTCATCTCCTGCTCCCCTCCCCACCTTTATTCCATTCTCCATGCAAGGTCAGAGATCTCTGAATCCAAACTAGACAGCACCACATCCAGGTAGGTCTAGCTCCAGCAGTGCCATGATTAACTGCTTCATCATGAGGATGTGTTATGGTGTATCCTGACCTCTCCTGGAGGCGAGGGGAAGACGGAGGGATACTTGGCAGGTGGCCTGACCTCTCTGAGCCTAGATCTCTTCATCTTTAAGATTTCCTACTTCCTAAATTTGTCAAGATCTAAATTTGTCAGTTTAGCTTAGCTTTACAGAAAGCCTCCACTCAGGAATTACCAGGTGAGTGAAGGATAATAAAAGCTGCTCAGGCCTCACAGTAAGTGCATTTAACACTTTCTCTCACTCTTTGTGTCAACTTATGACACAGGTTAACAGCATTACTCCCATTTAAGAGTTGGGGACACTGGGTCGTGGGGAGGGACACTGGGAGTTTCAGGTTAACATACACACACTATATAAAATACATAACCAACCAGGACTTAATGTATTGGTTACTGTGTAGGGAATTCTACTCAATACTCTGTAATAACTTATAAGGGAAAATAATCTGAAGAAGAATAAATAGGGAACTCCCTGGCAGTCCAGTGGTTAGGACTCTGCCCTTTCACTGCTGGGGTGGGATCTTAGGGAGCTAAGATCCTGCAGGTTGCAAAGCACAGCGGGAAACAGCAAAAAAAAAAAAAGAAAGAAAGAAAGAAAAAAGAAAAATTAAAAACAAAAATATATATAACTAAATCAGTTTGCTGTACATCTGAAATGAATACAACATTGTAAATAAACTATACCTTCAATTAAAAAAGAAAAACTAGAAAAAGAAAAGCATGTAGGGGGATTTTTTGAGAGAAAAAAAAAAAAAGCGTTGAGGGAACAGAGGTCAACCAACTGCCTAACGTCTTTTAGGCACTGGCAGGGTCACGATTCCGGAAGGTCTAGCCGTCGGTTCCACAGGACTGCACACTGCGCCTGTGCCACGCGGCCGGCTTGACAGAAGCAGAAGCGGAGGCCCAGGGAAAGAGGGACGAGCTTACCCCGGTAACGCAGACCGAGCCGCAGCCAGAGGCGCAAGAAACTACAGCTCCCATGACCCCCAGGGGCGGACGCCCGCCTGGGGGAGCCGCAGGGCGCCCCCGGGGCAGCTGGGAGATGTAGTCGTGCCGTCCCCCGCGACAGGGGCTCACCTGAGGACGTAGGAGCGGGCGGGCGCGCTCTTATAGACGTACTGCGCCAGCCACCACTGCACCGTCATGTTCCAGTAGCGCATGCCCTCCCGCACTCTCACGCAGAAGTCCGTGCCGTGGCAGTCGATGTTGCGTATGGTCTCATAGTCGTATTCCATGGAAGCCGCCGTCTCCGGACTGGGGGAGGGGTGGAGGACGAGGGTGGGGGACAGACATGCAGCTCAGCCAGGCCCCCTCCCGACGCTGGCTCCTGTCCCAGCCCCGGACGCTAAGGAGGGGAGTCTGGCCAGGCAACAGCTCCCAGGCTGTCGCATTTGCTAGGGCAACAGGGGAGGGGAGCCCAGAGGGTGCATTTTTGGGGGGTGGGGTGGGACGTGCACTGATCCACAGCAGTAGGATTCTCCTTCTCTTGGGAAGGGGGCCTGCAACAGCCAAAGTCTTCAAGGGTTACGGTTGCTAAGCTATGAGTCCTTAGCAACCTGACCTGCCAATGGTCTCAGATACTAGGGTAAGGCCGTTCCTTAGCAAAGTTCAGCATATCCAGAGAAGCCTCCAAGTAGTCCTTTCTAAATTCCTCGGACCCTTCCGTGGTTGGGGAAACAGCAGTCCTAACAGCGAGGTGGTCCATGGTTGCTAGGGAGATGTTCTAGGCCCGCCTGTCACCTCAATGGTCTCTGTTGCTAGGGAAAGGGCATCTCTTAGCAACAAGCCTAGGATGTTTAAAAAAAGTGTCCTGAAAAGGCCTTTGCTGGCTATCAGTCTGTAGGACTGTTCTAGAAGGATCAGCTCCAGCAATACAGCGGTTCCGGGGTCACCAGTGCCAACGCTCAGAGCAGTGGGGGATTATCATTGACCTGCCTGAACCACCGGCTACTTCTGATAACGGAAGCGGGGCTTCCATTAAGAGCAGGGCCCAGAAGGTTTAGAAAAGCTTTCAGCTCCTGCTTCACGTCTTCTGGGGGATACCCGCTAGCAACTGGAGGCCTGCTTTTGGTTACTCTGGCAGAAGGAAGAAATGTTGCGTGGGGGCGCCACTTTCCCCACAAGGGAATGGCTGTTGTGACTACAAGGGGATGGCCCAACCCTAGTAAGGAGTCATTCAAAGTTTACATCAAGGGGCTGCTTTTCCAGCCTCAGCCTGAATGCCAGAGGACAGCTGCAGGGAACCGAGGGAGGGCCCGCTCCTGATTGCCAGGGTGCCACTTCCCCCGCAACACAGGAGCAACGTATCCTTAGCAACAAGGAGTCCCTGGTTACTAGCAGTGTGCTCTGCCTCTTGATGAAGGAACTAGGCTTGTTGTAGCTTCGCCAGCAACAAGCTTAACCCATAGCTACTGGGGGCTTCTGGCGGTTACTAAGAATGGTGTCCGCTGCTACCCGCCCCCCCCACCCCCCCGACCAGAGGACAGCATGGTAGCATGGTGGAGAATGCCATTTCTGGGAGTTCTCAGGTGGGTAAGGATCCGCCTGCCAATGCAGGGGGCTGACACGGGTCCCATCGCTGGTCTGGGAAGACCCCACATGTCCTGGAGCAGCTGAGGTGGTGGGCAACAGCTCCTGAGCCTGCGCTCCGCAAGGAGAGAAGCCACCGGAAGGAGAAGCTTGCCCCCGAGACGAAGAGTAGCCCCCGCTCGCCCCAACCAGAGAAAGCCTGTGCCCAGCAGCCAGAAATAAAGCGAATGCCATTTAAATGTTATGTGATGACGTCTCACAGGGAGGGCCTGCTTGCTCCCAGCAAAGAAGGGGGCACTTTAGGGGACGCCGTTCCCATAGCAACAAAGGCAAGAAGGGGCAGTTCTGTTGCTAGGGAATGGTTTCCCTAGCAACTTTCCCTAGCAACAAGGGGCTGCTCCTCACTGCCCAGCAATGGCATCCTGAGCAACCAGGAACAACCGGGTAACCGGGCTGACACTTCCATGCCATCAGAGGGGCAGCAGGGTGGTTGCTAGAATACACCTTCCTTTTCCTAGCAACAGAGAGCAATTCACTACCCCAGGGGCTGACAAGCACACAACAGGGGGCGATCTCTAGGTTTCAGTTTTCCGAGGACAGGGGAGGCGGGCTGTGCTGGCCAAGGGTGACACTCTGTTGACAACCGGTGGGAGACCAGCCCCCCCTCCCGCCGCTGCTCCCCACTCTCCTCCCTGCTAGGGGCAGGGCCAGCCCGCGGTGATGGGACCGGCCGGGTCTTGGGACACCTCCCTCCCGCCGCCTGACCTGCTGGGGGGTGGGCATTGGAGGGTGGGGCCGCCCCCGGCCCGGGCTTTGGCGGCCACGGGGTAGGCCCCGAAGCCGGCGGCAATGCAGCCGCACTCGGCGGCAATCCAGGCCACGTAGAAGCGCATGCGGAAGGCGAAGAACACGGGGATCATGTAGAAGAGGCGGGCGGGCAGCGGGCGGGCGTAGAAGGCGTCCTCGCGCACGGCCTCCAGCGGGAAGAGGTGTGATGAGAGCAGGAAGAGCAGGCCGAAGAGCGGGGCCGGCCAGGCGCGGCGCAGCAGGGGCCGCAGGCTGGGCACGGCCCCTGGGAAGGGCTGCTCCAGCCAGTCCAGGTAGGTGCGGTAGCGGAAGAACGGGCCTGTGGCGGGAGGGCGGGCCGCGGTCAGGCGCATGTGCGCGTGGGGATGGCGGGCAGAGCGCCGGTCTCGGGGCGGAGGAGACGGGCCAGGGACCAGGGAGCCCGGGGGAACCAGGGAGAGAGGAGAACGGAGAGCAAGGGAGAGCGGACAAAGGGGGAGGCAGGGGACTCGGCGGGAAAGAGGGACAGACACTTAGGGAGCGTCTCGGACAGAGGAGCCCGAGAACCAGGGGTCTTGGCACACGTGGAGGGAGGGGGGCAGGGGGGCCTGGGGGTCAGGGAGGAACAGGAGGCGCACCAGCGCATCCCTTGAGGAAGACAGGGGCCTGAGAAGAAATCAGAGGGTGGCAGGGGCAAGACCCTGGAGGGATCTGACCAGGACTTTAGGCTTGGCTTTTTATATATATATGTATATTTTTGGATAACTTGTGGTTTATCCACTCAATGGAATACTATCCAGCCATGAAAACAAACCAGGTACAAGTCCATCCAGCAAAAGTCCTGCATACCATTGAGCAAATAAGCCAGTACAAAAGAATACATACTGTGTTTGATTCTATTCACATAATGTCCCCAAGCAGACAGCGCTAACCTATGCTCTCAGTAGTCCAGAGAGCGGCTGCCCTTGGGCGGCGGCAACTGGAAGGGACGAGGGACCAGTGGTGTGCGGGGAGATCACTTGATGGGGTGCTGACTGTAGGCATGCTTTCCGTTTGTGTGAAACCACCAACTTGCTTGTATTTGTTGAGCATGCATGTGTATGCACTCAGTCACATCTAACTCTCGGCGAACCCGTGGACTGTAGCCCGCCAGGCTCCTCTGTCCGTGGGATTTCCGAGGAAAGAGTACTGGCGTGGGTAGCCATTTCCTTCTCCAAGGACTCTGGGGTTTTTTTCTCAGCGCTAGGGTAACCACTGAAGGCCTCTCCCACCAGGGAAGGGCTAGATTATGATTTGGCTTTTTCAGGAGACCCCTCAGCCACTGAGCAGGCAGGGGCTGCAGAGGGAAGTGACGGAAACGAGGGGCCTGCTACACTCGAGATAAGGTGATGGCCTGGCCTGGGGAAGGAGCAGAGGACTCTAACAGAAGTGCTGAAAGTCTAACGGAGGACCATACGCTGTATGATTCCATTTATAGATGTTCAGGGCAGGCAAACACATAAGAGAAGCTCAATTAGTGCTTTCAGGGAATGGAGGCAGTTGGAGGTTGGGCAGACGATGGTCAAGGGTGCAGGGGTTCTTTCTGAGGTGACCGAATTGCACAGTAGTCATGTTGCAAAACTCTGTGAAAGTGAAGTCGCTCAGTCGTGTCCGACTCTGCGACCCCGTGCACTGTAGCCCCGTCCTCCGTCCATGGGATTCTCCAGGCAAGAACACTGGAGTGGGTTGCCATTTCCTTCTCCATAGACTCAAACCCAGCAAACTGGATGTGGTTGTGAATGGGTGAATATGGTAATCACAGCTCAATACAGTTGTTACAGAAGTCAAGACCTTCTACGAGGTCAACAGTAATGAAAAATACGTCCTGAAACTAAAAATGGGATCATAAGCTGTGAATCCTTGTGGCCTGGGCGGCGGACACATTAGGGTGACATCCATCTTTCTCCTTTATCTCCTGTGTGCTCCCAATAAGTTACAAGGAATCACTGAGGCTGAGAACAATCTGTGTCTACTCTGGAGGGGCCCTGGGGCCAGTGGGAGAGGTAGACACGGACTAGGGCTCAGAGGCTCACGCTCAGAGCAGCAGAGGCTGGAACGGGGGGCCGGGAGCGGGGGGCAGGAACACAGACCAGACAGCAGAGTCCGGGCAGAGGCAGGCCCGGGGCGGGCGCGCTCACCTGTCATGATCCCCACGTAGCAGTAGCTATAGCTGAGGGTCTCCATCAGAGAGGGCACGTCCGGCAGCAGCCCCAAGGGGGGCCCCTTGCTGAAGCCCGAGGCCATTTCCTTCCTCTGGGCCACGTGCAGGTCCTGAACTTCACTGGCCAGACTCACCAGCTGGGAGGAAGGGGCGTGCGGGAGGACAGCTCAGACCCCGGCCTCCTCACACCCACCTCCCGTTCACGACTGCTCTGGGCGGCCCCGTGGGGCTGGATGCCAAGGCGCTGCTCCTTGGGCAGCTCTGAGCATCTAATGACGAGTAAGGGCTCCCTCCTGGGCCCCCCATGTGTTTTTCTCTAAGTTCCATCTTTCCATGCTCCCCCGCAGTTCATGGCTCTAGGTACCACCCATGCTATACCCCGGTGGGACTTCTCCAAGCTCCAAGCCTGTCCATCAAGCTGCCTCTAGGGAATTCCCCGGGGGTCCAGGAGTTAGGACTTGTTGCTTTCACCACCAGGGCCTGGGTTTGATGATGCTTGGTTGGGAAACTAAGATCCCACAAGCCATGTGGCATGGCCAAAATAAACTAAAAAAAAAAAAGCAGCTGCCTCTTGTCATTAATACATGGATGGATGACTTCCAAGCACCTCAAATTTAACACATCCCAAGTGTAAAACGGTTTTAGCCATTCCCTGAAGCGGGTGTTCATCTGGTCTCTCCCCTCATCAAATGCCAGTCCTTGGGATTCTCCAGGCCAGAATACTGGAGTGGGTAGCCTTTCCCTTCCCCAGGGGATCTTCCCAACCCAGGGATCGAACCCGGGTCTCCCGCATTGCAGGCGGATTGTTTACAGCTGAGCCACCAGGGAAGCCCCATCAAATGCCAATCAGCATCCAATAAGCTGCTTAGACTGGAAACCTTCCTCGCTCCCCAGGTCGAGTCCCTGAAGTCTCTGAGTCTGTCCCTTTCACTTTGCCTCCACCACTGGGCTGAGTATGCTGAGCCTGGCCCCCCAGCCAGCTCTCTACCCTTCTGCACACAGACCCCAGGCTGGCCCGACATGTGTCTTCCAGTTTCAGCCGGGGTTCAGCTGGCAAATGGCGGAGGCAGGCAGGATTGAACCTTGCGTTTGTATTACGGTGTTTTTAATCCCTTTATTGATAAGACCGCCTGGGGCCTCGCTGTGACCCTTGACCTACCTTCTCAAATCTACCCAAGTCCTTTTCCTTCTGGGCTCCCTCCTCTCTGGCTCCTTGGGACCAGGACCCTTCCTCATCCTGCCCTGGCCAAGGTAAACATCAACAAAAACGCGCCCAGGTTCTCCTACATGCCAGGCCTCCTGGTGGGGCCCTGATTAGCTGCCCCAGGCCTGCCTCAAGCCGCCAGTTTGTCAGTTGGACTTAGATAAAGGAGTCCCACGTCACCGCACCTTACCCTTCCTGCTGCAGTTTTTTTTCAGCGTCTGGAGGAGGTATTTTTAAACCTGTAAACTTGGTCACAGATTTTCAGAAAAACCTCTTGTAGTGGCTCTTGGGCCCCCACAGGAAGAAGTCGGAACTCCTCACTGGGGCCAGCCAGGCCCTGCCCGGCTTGGCCCGAGCTGTGGCCTCCCCTTGATGGACAGTCCATGTGGCTGGCACACAGCTGGCGGCATGTGGCCGGCTCCCTTCCAAGCATGCTGCTCCCTGCGTCCCGAGAGGCTCTGGTTTCCTCCCACTCCTGCCCCGCTCCTGCCCACCCTTCAGCTCCCGCCCGGGAACGCGGCATGCCGGAAGAGCCCTGCCCGCCACTGCCGCCTGACCCTTTCGATCACTGAGAGGAAGCCCCCGGGAGGAGCGCGTGACCTCTTCTCCCGTGGTGGGGCCTGCAGACTTGTTTTCTCCCATCTTCCCAGGTCATGGGAAGCCAGACGTGGTGTTCTGCTTTTGTGCCCTCAGCTCAGTGCTCTCTGCCCAAAGCTGTTTTTTCTTTTTTCTCCTTTGCAACGTGGCTTGCTACAAAGATGCACTTTAGCCCAGCCACCCACTGACACCCACAGTTATATAGCTTTGGGTACTTTTTTTACCCTGGGGAAGAGCTGAGAGGTGAAGTCCTGCCCTCAGTGGAGTGCGTGGGAGAGACCGACCGCCTCCTCTGCCTCCCCAGGGAGAAGGTAAAGCTGGGCTGGCTCACGGGCACCCAGGGAGGGCTGGGGGTGCGGGGGAAGCCTGACCTTCAGCGTCAGCAGCAGTTGGACGGCGTTGGTGAAGGGCGTGGGAGTGGGCAGGCCCAGCAGGCTGACTGCGCGGAAGAAAAGCAGGTAGGAAAAGGTCCAGGCGAGGGCCAGGGCGTGGCAGGAGCTGAGACAAGACAGGAGGTCTGTTGCGCTGGGTGCCGGAGGTCTTGCCTCGGTCCCCCCTGGATTCCAGCTGCAGATCCCACCCCCCACCGCCCACCTTCAGAGACAGGAGAGGGGGGTGTATGGAATGAACATGACTGAAAGAGCTGCAGAGAAACACACAGCAACAGAACAAGGAGGGGATGGAGAGAGAGGCTGCGGGTGAAGACCCTTCATGCCTCCATTTGTTTCTGGGAGGGAGGGAGAGAGGGGAGGGAGAAAGAGAGGGAATACCAGGGCCAGCAGACCAGTAATGCCCTCCTCTCTCCTGAATCCATGACATGGACATCAAGGGCCAGGCCAAACACACAGGGACAAGACCCAGAAAAAGGCAGGAGAGGAGAAACAGACCAGACACATGACACAGAGAATCTTGAGGCACACAAGAGACATCCAGAGACCGAGGCGGAAACAGAGAAAGACCCCAAGAGGAAACAGGTTGCATCCTCCACCCGCTCTGTGCTCCCCCTCCTCCTCCCACCAAATCCTCACCAGGGCTGGGCCTGAATGAGCGCCCAGGTCCCAAGGATGGTGGCCAGAGAATGCAAAGTGTGGGGGCCACAGGTGAACAAGGTGAGCCCCAGGCCCACGGCCGCCGCCCCCCATCTCTTCAGCCCAGGTCCTGCAGGGAGAAGGCACAGCATCAGTGTAGAACTTTCCACGGGGTCCCCCATTGTGCCCGCCCCCCTTCTTTTCTGCTGAGGAGGGAACCTGACTCACCAGCTTTCTTAAAGAGGAAGCCGATTGGGATGGAGATAAGAAGAACCACTAGATATGTCCATTCTTCGGGCGACATGTTCTAGGGGAGGGGCAGACGTTCAGTGAGAACCCAAGAGTCCAGCCGCCAGCCCCTCGTCCTTAGAGGATTTAGGAATCTGCTCCCGTACGAATCCCCAGTTGTCAAAGATCAAAGAGTCCTACCCTCAGCTCCTCTCCTCTGAGAACACAGGAATCCCAACCTCCAGGCCCTTCCTCCTTTGAGGATAGAGGAAGTCACCCCCAGGACCTCTCTTTTGAGAATCCAGGCCCCCCAGATCTCTTCTCCTTTGAGAACTCAGGAATCCAAACCTGGCGGCCCCCTCCTCCGTAGACGATCAAGCAACACCAGCCCCTCACTTCTTATCCCTGAGCACCCCCTCCTCCGAAAACACTGTTCTCCAAAGCCCCTGCCGTTCTTCGAGGGGGCCTCAGAGGAGTCCAGGTCTCCAGCCTCCACCTTTCTCCGAGCTCGGGTTCCTTCTCCTGTCTGAAGCCGGAGAACCGGCCCGCTCCCCAGTACCAGCCCGAGTCCCAGGGTGCGCACCAAGCGCGGCTCATATCCGCTCTGGGCAAAGCCACAGGCGGTTACGCCACCCGGGGGCTCGCCCATGCCACCCCGGAGCTCGGCCGCGCTCCCGGCGCCGCCCCCGCACCCCATAAGTCCGCCGATCCGCAGCGACCCCACAATGTCCAGACCCCTCCCGGTCTCCTGGGCGCCTCCACACCCCGGCCCACCTGGACCCGCGGTTCTGCGCCGCCCGCAGGGCAAGAGGCGGCCGAGCAGTCCTGGCCCCCGGACTATCGTGGGTCCGGCCACGCCTACCCCGCCCAGCACGCCCCCGCACCCCCCAGCCTCTTTCGGGGGGCCTGCAGAACTGCGCGGTCCGGGGCCGTGCGCGCAGCGCCTAGCAGTGTCCGGGCTGGGCGAGGAAGGAGCGCGGACGCGGCGCCGAGAGCACTACCCGGCGGCGGGACCCGGCCAGGCTCGGATCTACCCGGCTGCGAGCACGCAAAGGGCGGGGCTTCGGCTCGGGAAGGGGTGGGGCCAGAAGCTTCGGGCTCCGAGGGCGCCACGGGACCCCGGAAAGAGGCGGGGCCTGGAGCTGAGCTGTCAGAGGGAGGCGGGGCCTCCGCTCCTGGTTTCTTTAGCCAGAATCAGGGGGCGATTTGGAGGCAGGGCCACAAGCTTCCGATTTTTTCGGAGGTGGTCGAGTAGGTTCGTTTGTGGGCGGAGCCAAGAGCTTCGGCCGGACGTGGGCGGGGCCACAGTCTCGGCTCCCTTCGGAGGTAGTCGGGTAGACGCGACCTTGGGTTGCTCATAGGCGGAGTCTCAGGATTAGGACGGAGGCGGAGCCACGGGCTTTGGCCATACGAAAGAGGCGGGGCCCAGAAGCCCCCCCCCAGGGGGTGGGGCAAACAGAGTCCGACCTCAAGGGGCGGGGCCAGCGTGGCGAGCTGCCCGTTTCCTAGTCCCGGAACCGAGGGAGGTGCGCTTCGAGGGGCGGGCTCGAGGGATTTACACTATAGGGGGAAGGCAGGGCTTCGGCCCTGCGGGGCGGGCCCCAGACTTCCCGCTCCGCTGAGGTGGCGGCGTGACGACATCGACGCAGGGGGTCGGCATGGGGGGTGGAGGAAACCCCGCGTGCCGCGCTACGTAGGGGGTGGCTCCGCCGGGACTGCGAGCTGGTGTTTACGAGGTGAATAGCTGGTTCCGTCAGAGGACGGTGCCACATTCTGAAGGGAGTGCTCACGAGCGGGCTGAGCCCGCCCGAGAGGAGAACGCTCTGGGCTTCCGGCTGTGGGTTCGGTCGTGTGGCGGGAACTCCAACCGAGGAGAGAGCCCGCGGCCGAAGGGGGCGGGGCCTCAGGCTGTGGGCTTGACGTGAGCCGAAGCCGTCCGAACGCCTGACGCCTGGTCTTCGGGAGGGGGTGGGGCCTCAGGTTGTGGGCTTGACGTGAGCCGAGGCCGTCCTAACGCCTGACGCCCAGTCTTCGGGAGGGGGCGGGGCCGCGATCGGCTGACCCGAGGATGTCCGAACGCCTAACCCCGCGTCTTCGGGAGGGGGCGGGGCCGCGATGGGCTGAGCCGAGGACTTCTGAATGTACGAAGCGGCCGCTCTCGGGCGGGGACCTGAGGCTGGACCTCGAGGGCTCAGAAAGAAGGGTCCCCGAGGAACCCCCAAGGGGGCGTGGCCTCGGGGGGCTTTGGCCTCCGGAGGTCCCGACACCTGACGGGAACACCGGAGGGCGACGCCGAAAAGGACCTTTCGGAGGGGGCGTGGTCCGCCCTACGGCAGGCTTTGCCGCTAGGCGCGGGGGCCCGCGCGGCCAGTCTCGCCCCTGGCCAGAATGCTGACCGCAGGGTCCGAGGCGCCCCGGCGGGGCCCCGGCGCTCCTTTCGGGGCGGGGCCTCGTCTGGGTTAGCCCCGGGGCCTGGCGGGATCGCCCGGGGGCGGAGCCCGGCGCCCAGGGGGCGGGACTGGCGCTCCCGCTCAGCAGGTGGCGAACGCGGCTCGGAGCGAGGCTCCGCCCCAAGAGCCTCAGGGGCGGGGCCTCGCCGAGACCCCCAGCTAGGCGGTGGGCACCCTCCCAGCGGCGCGAATCCCTCGGCGAGAGGCGTGCTGCTCGGTGGGTGACTGTTGTGCCCCTGGCTTCCCGCAGGAGGATGCTGGTGGTGGAGGTGGCGAACGGCCGCTCCCTGGTGTGGGGGGCCGAGGCGGTGCAGGCGCTGCGGGAGCGCCTGGGCGTGGGGGGCCGCACGGTGGGCGCCCTGCCCCGCGGGCCCCGCCAGAACTCGCGCCTGGGCCTCCCACTGCTGCTGATGCCTGAGGAGGCGCGACTGCTGGCCGAGATCGGCGCAGTGACCCTAGTCAGCGCCCCGCGCCCGGACCCCCGCCAACACAGCCTGGTAAGTGGGGGCTGGCTAGGGACGCCCCTCCCGGGGACCTGCGGGAGGAGAGGCTGGGGACGACTGATTCCTGGTTGGGAGGGCTCTGAGAGTCCTGGATTCTGGAATTCTGTGAGAGTAGGATAGTAGGATCCCCGGGTTCACTCCCCGAGGTTTGGAGGGGCCAGAGTTAGGATTTCTAAGGCAGTGCATGTCTGAATCCTGATATTACAGCAAAGTTTACTTCTCAGGCACTGGCATCCTTCAAGCGCCAGCAAGAGCAGGGTTTCCAGGAGCAAAGCGCTCTGGCAGCTGAGGTCCGAGAGACCCGTCGTCAGGAGCTCCTAGAGAAGATTACAGAGGGCCAGGCTGCGAAGAAGCTAAAGCTGGAACAGGAATCAGGGACCAGTGGGAGCCAGGAGGCCGGTGGGAAGCAAGCTGCCGAAGAGAATGAGGCCAGTGCTGGCCAGGCTGCTGGAGAGCATGAGGAAGCATGTGAAGGTGGGGGTTGGAGTCCATGGACCAGGGGAAAAAGGGAAGAGATCCTTGGGGGATTTTTGGCTGGGACTCTAGGGCTGATCCTCCCTGGGGCCTGAGAAAAAAGCCTTGCCCCTTGGATTCATCAAACTCTTGGATTCTTCCCCACCAGGCTCCTCTCCCCAGCCAGGGCCTTCAAATGGAGTGGCCCCCTTACCGAGGTCTGCTCTGCTTATCCAGTTGGCCACTGCTCGGCCGCGGCCCATCAAGGCTAGGCCCCTGGACTGGCGTGTCCAGTCCAAAGACTGGCCCCATGCTGGCCGCCCTGCCCACGAGCTTCGCTACAGCATCTACAGAGACCTGTGGGAACGAGGCTTCTTCCTCAGTGCCGCTGGCAAGTTCGGGGGCGACTTCCTGGTCTATCCTGGTGAGTTTGTGTTGGGACCTCTGGTGACATTTTTCTTCACAATCCCACTACGGTCTGCGTTTCCCCCCTTTTTTGTTCTCCTTTTCTCAGCCTCTGAAACCATGGAAAAACAGGAAACACTTGGGAATCCAAGCTTTTTTGGAGAGCAGTTTAGTAAATGAACAAAGAGGGGGAAAAAAACTCTCACAGAAGACATATAGAATAAAACGTAAATCATATTTTGTAGTGTTATGTACATTACTATATCTAATAATACATACACATTGCAGATTCTTTACCACTGAGCCACTTGGGAAGCCCTTCCATATCTTAGCTATTGTAAATAATGCTGCAATGTACATAGGGGTGCGTTTATCTTCTTGAATTAGTGTTTTCACTTTTTTTCAGATAGATACCCAGGAGTAGAATTGCTGGAAGACTTGCTCTTTTAGAATTATGTTACCTGTTAGTTTTCTGTATAGTGCTTACTCAGGGTCCTACTCTACTTGATCAGGTTCATCTAACCTGGGAGCAAAGTATAGCCCCCCTCCCCTCAGCCGGTCAAATGAGGCACACTGACAGGTTTGTTTTTTTTTTTTTAATAAAGTTTTATTGGAACACAGCTCTGTTTTGTTTACATATGGTCAGTGAATGCTATGGTGCTAGACTGGTAGAGTTGAGTATTTGCAGCATGGCCCACAAAACTGAAAATATTTACTATCTGGCCCTTTTCAGAAAAATTTGGTTGACTCCTTAATTCTATTTTATTATGCCCTCCTGTTGTAAATCGTTCTCTTCTTTTAGTCTGAGTCACTTCTCATTGGATATTTATGATACGATATACATGATACCCTTTGAGTTCCTCATGGCTTTGACTGACAGTGATATATTCAGTTACTTGTTTTTAAATAAGATATACATAATGTGTCAACTTGCTCCACCCCCCAGGCCCAAGGGTGTCTTTTGCAATATTGGTAGTGATGGCTGGATGCATTGAGATCCCCTCCGTGTTGGAGGTCCCAGTGTCTTCCAGTTCTCCACCAGTGGAAACTGCTACCTGCCTCTCTCCTTCACCCAGGCGACCCGCTCCGTTTCCACGCTCACTACATCGCCCAGTGCTGGGCTCCCGGGGATCCCATCCCACTCCAGGACCTGGTTTCGGCTGGCCGCTTGGGCACCAGTGTCAGAAAGACACTGCTGCTTTGCTCCCCGCAGCCCGATGGTAAGGTGGTCTACACGTCCCTGCAGTGGGCCAGCCTGCAGTGAGCTCCAGAGACCTGTGGGCGCTCGGCTATGTCCGTGGCAAGACCCTTTCTAGATGGTTCCAAGCTCATCTCTGCGTGGGAGGTCCCGCCCAACCTCCTGCCTCTCTTGGTGGTTAGTGTTCGATTCCAGATTTATAAACACTACATCCTCCTTATATCCCTCCCCAATCCAAAGCACTTAGTGGCTGTGTTGTTTTTATAGTTACCAGTTTCCAACCATGAGCTTCCTGAGTGTGAAAGCTGATTCATCTCTCTTTTCTACAGGGCTTAGGTCCCAAGAGGTCTCAATAAATTTGTTGAATCAGTGTGGAGTTTGTGGTTTGAATCCTTAAGACAGTCCTGGGAGGTGTGGGCATTTGCTGCAGGTGTTTAGGCAGATGAGGAAAAGCCTGGGGGAGGGGAGATGACTTGCCCCAGGTCCCACCTCTAGTAAGGAGCAGGTGTGTTAGTCACTGAGTTGTGTCCAACTCTTTGTGACCCCATGGGCTTCCCTGGTGGATCAAATGGTAAAGAGTACGCCTCCAATGTGGTAGACCTGGGTTCGATCCCTGGGTTGGGAAGATCCCCTGGAGGAGGGCATGGCAACCCACTCCAGTATTCCTGCCTGGGGAATCTCCATGGACAGAAGAGCCTGATGGGCTATAGTCCATGGGGTCACACAGAGTCGGACACGACTGAGCAACTAAACACAGGTTCCTCTGTCCATGGGATTCTTCCACTGCACTACACTTACTTTGGAAAAGCTTTAAGACATTTCAGATGCATACAAAGGCATAAATAAAAAATAACTCATGAAAAAAAGGAGGCAACTGTTGCAGTTTTAAGGAGTAGGGAGGGGAATATCCGAGGTGGTCTTGCTCTTGGATTGGGTGTTGTTTATTCAGGTGTTGGGAGAATTACTTTTTATACCGTACATTTATATTCTAGATTCTCCTTTGTATGCTGTATTCCACAATTTTTTACAAAAGCTAAAACACATACGTATGAAATATGCATTCATAAAACAATTTGCAGAGCTGCCTTTCTGCTTAACAAATTGCTAGAATATTACCAGTACCAACTTCCAATATTTAAGAAACTGATTAAAACAATTTTTTTAAATCTATTTATTTGGCTGCACCAGGTCTTAGTTGTGGCATATGGGATCTAGTTCCCAACCAGGGATAGAACTCGAGCCCCTGACAGGTAATAAATGCTGGAGAGGGTGTGGAGAAAAGGGAACCCTCTTACACTATTGGTGGCAATGTAAATTGGTGTAACCACTTGGGAGAACAGTATGGAGGTTCCTTAAAAAACTAAAAATAGAACTACCAAATGACCCAGCAATCACACTACTGGGCATGTATACTGAGAAAACCATACTTTGAAAAGATGCATGCAGCACTATTTAAAATAACCAAGACATGGAAGCAACCTAAGTGTCCATCAGATGAATGGATAAAGAAGATTTGGTACATATATGCAATGGAATATTACTCAGCCATAAAAAAGAATGAAATATTGCCATTTGCAGCAAAATGAGTGGACCTAGAGATTATCACAGGTAATGATAACTAAGAAGTCAGGCAATGACAAGTATTATATGGTAATCACTTTTATGTGGAATCTTAAAAAAAAAAAGAAAAATGAACTTATTTACAAAACAATCAGACTCACAGACATAGAAAACAAACTTATGGTCACCAAAGGGAACAGTGAGGGGAGGAAAGATAAATTATAAGTTTGGGATTAATATATACACACTACAATATGTAAAGTAGGTAAAAGACAAGAATTTACTAGATAGCACAGGGAACTATAGGGCTTCCCAGGTGGCACTACAGGCAAAGAACCAGCCTGATAATATAAGGGACAAGAGATGTGGGTTTGATCCCTGGACTGGGAAGATTCCCTGGAGGAGGGCATGGCAACCTACTTCAGTATCTTGCCTGAAGAATCCCATGGACAGAGGAGCCTGGTGGGCTACAGTTCACGGGGTTGCAAAGAGTTGGACACGATTGAAGCAACTTAGTATGCACACACTGTAGCCTGACTGGCTTCTCTGTCCACTAGCACCACTGGGAAGCCCAGGATTAAGTAAATTAACATGGGTACAATTCTTTGAACAGGGCCTGATGTATAGTACTTAAGTATTCTAGAATGCCACCTATTATTATTTTTAGTGATAGAAATAATGGGTCACACGAATTAAAACATAAACAACAAACCCCCCCCCAAACCGTAAGGTGTTTAGCCCAAAGCCTAGGACATTTAGAGTGCTTGTTAAATATCTAACCACGATAAAGTCATTGGTGTGAATGGGATTATCCCAGACAGAAAAGCACTAGAGGAAATAATCCTGGGGCTGTCTGAGAGGATATATATATAAATTGTTCCGGTTTTATAGCAAGAGGTTTCAGAACATTTCCCCTGTTCTGGAAACCCAAAGGAAACCTCAGGATATAAACTGCTGTCTTTCACAAAGAGGCACAAAGTCTTTCAATCATTGGATCTTAAGTTTTAAAAAAAGTCAGTTACCTTTACGTATACACACACACACACACACACACACACACACACAGTTTTCGTCAGTCACCTTCTTAAGGAGGCTTCCCTGACCATCCTTTCTGAAATACCAGTTTCCCTCAGTCATTGAGAGATGTGCTTAGTCGCTCAATCCTGTCCGACTCTTTGCCACCCCGTGGACTGTAGCCTGCCAGGCTCCTCTGTCCATGGGACTCTCCAGACCAGGATTCTGAAGTGGGTAGTCGTTCCCTTCTCCAGGGGATCTTCCCAACCCAGGGATTGAACCCAGGTTTCCCGCATTGCAGGCGGATTCTTTACAGACTGATTTATCAGGGAAGCTCAGTCATTATCAGTAATTTTTTTTCTTCACAGCAGCAATCTGAAATGATCTTGTTATTATTTTTCCCCCTCTTCCCTTAGGCTCAAAGTTTCACTAATAGAGGGGCTGTTGAAGGGTTCAAAAGGGCAGATTGGCTTCTGGCTGTGCCTCGGATAGACATTCTGATATGAAAAATGATTTTTTTTTTATTCATGGATATAACAGCATCTTGGAAGGCGCTTTGAATTCGCATAGGTCCAATCCTCGAGATCTTTTCAGAGAGACGGAGCATGCTGAAGCCTAGCGGCGGTGACAGTGACTGCTCCAACTTTACACTGCGACTCAGACGTTAGCTGAGTGGTGACGTTAAGTCACCACCCAGGGGCGGAGAGGAGCCCTCACGTCTCACCAGACGTAGCGCTAATTCCTCAGCAGTTCTCCCAGTTTAGCACGGCCAATCTCTCCTCTGGACAGCTTTGGCCGCCCGCCAAGGCCTTTCCTGATTGGTGCAGACTTTCGCTGTGCGTGTGACGTCACAAGAGGGCGACGTTGCTATAAGAACGCGGTCGGCGAACGCGTGCGCCTCTTTCTTGGTTTCCAGAGCGTTCGCTCAGGTGAGCTCTGCGGCCGTGTTCTGTATTTTGGGTGTGGGTCGTAAAATCCTGCGGGCTATTCGACCTTTAATGAGTACGCTAAAGCAGTTGGAGGTGAAATGAGCGTAACTGGAAAGTGGTAGAAATGATAGTCGGTTATAAAACTCTTCAGGGACGGTTCTCGCGATATCTTCCCTACGTGCTGCGAAGTTCATAGCGTAGGTCTGGGACTGCGCAGGCGCCGTGGAGTCCTCACAGGCCTCTCTCCCTCCCGCGCAGGCGCAGACAGGCAAACAGAGCCAGCATGCCGGTCGCCCGGAGCTGGGTTTGTCGCAAAACCTATGTGACCCCGCGGAGACCCTTCGAGAAGTCCCGCCTCGACCAAGAGCTGAAGCTGATCGGTGAGTGGCTAAAGCTAGGTTTCTGTTTCCCGGGCTGGGGAAGCTGACACATGGGTGAGGCCCCTCACGTGCTCGTTCTGTTTAAAAATCTCCAGTGTGTTCACCCTCTTGTTTTTCTATATCCCGAAATCACTAATCCTTTTTCACTAGTCCATGGGACTGAGTTTTTTCACTCATTCTGCAGGCGAGTATGGGCTCCGGAACAAACGTGAGGTCTGGAGGGTCAAATTCACCCTGGCCAAGATCCGAAAGGCTGCCCGGGAGCTGCTGACGCTGGATGAGAAAGACCCGCGGCGTCTGTTCGAAGGTGTGTATGTGAGCCCCCAGGAGAGCTGCTGCTGTTTTTCCTTCTAGGGTTGTGCAAGACATGGAGCAAGACATTGTATCCAGTCTTTAATAGGAGTTATGGAGTAGGAAAATAGGTCTGAATCCGAGTACCTACCTTTTTTCTGATCTATGACTGGTTTATTCAAACACTGAGAATCGATTTCCAGTGGATTAGAACTAACAATGCCAAGCATTGGGCACCTGGATATATCTATACATCGTTCAACAGAACAATATTGCTCCTTATGCTATTGTTACCTGCTGGGGAGACTAGACAGTGAAATTTGAGAAGTTCCACCCAGGGTGGAACTTGAGTGTGTATATGTGCCTTCTTTAACACGATGGTGAAGGACATTTACTCAGGGTCTGAACAGTAGAGGACCTGTGGGTTTCACGGGAAAGAACGGTTCCAGGTGATCTTAGAGGGAATACAGATGATACCATATGGTTTAAAATTTAAAAAATTATGGTGCAGTATACTTGGACAAACTGCCATCTTTTAGACTCTTAAGGTCTAAATGTCTGCTGTAAGATGTGAGGTTGATGGGCTTTTGGAAGGGACGATATCACTCTTTTTAGTAGGACCTCTCAGGTTGTAAGATGGTGAAAATATTAAGAAAGCTGGTACTTTATAAGGTTCAGTGAATATCTTTTTCTAAGCTCTTGGTGTACGTTATTTGATTTGCACAAGTAGATTGGCAGGGGTACTGATCATAGTCTTCAAATGAGCAAGTGATCGGAGACTTCCTGCAATAGATGGGGAGTGCATGTGAGCTCAGGGTTGGGAGTTGAAGGAGGCTTCTTAGATGATGCTTAGGTAACATGCCAAAAGTTGAAACCATTCCTAAATGTAAGAGTAGTCAGTAAACTTGGTTAGCATTTGTGCTACATTGTATGCTGGGTGTGGATTAGCTTGATATACAGTTTGTGATTCTAACAGATGCGAGTCTGGCTGTAGGTGATTCTCTGTTTTTTGTAGCACCTTTTATTAGGATAAACTTTACACAACAGGAAGTGTGCTCACAGTATCTAAAATTTGTTTTTAGTTACCTCTAAAATTGGCCGTTTCTTCGGTATTATCTTGATGCTGCTTTTGGTTTGACCTTGGGAAATCTTGATGCTAGTGAAAGTTAGGAGGGACTGGGCTCACTTGGGCAGCTGGCTTTTTATGTTCAATTGGAGTGGCTAGTCTGATTTTTCTCCCAAACCGTGGTTAAGGATGGAAGTGCTCTTATATTTCTGTTAAGCATGAGTGGTCATCCATAGGAGAGGTTGAGAGAGGTTTGGAGAGGTGTTGTACTAATACAGGTTCATCACTTTGATCTATCCCAGTTCCAAGGGTGTGAGAGGTTTTCATTTTTAACCTTTCTTAGTTTGGAAGCTCTTTTGACACTCATGAGAATTTAGGAATCTCCCTGGTGGATGTTGGTATTGGGTGGAACTCTGTCCCAGAGTTTGGGGGACAGACCTCAGCTTGTTCTGGTCTCAGGAACTTGAGAAGAGTTAATCACAGAGAAATTTAGGTGCTAAGCAGTCATATGACAGAGATAGCACAGGGCAGGGTTGAGCAGCGGGTGTCCAGGGATTTGGTGAGTGAAGCCAGATTGCTGGGATGGAGAGGAGAAGCCCGGGAGCTCCGAGGTGTTTGCTACTGCTGCAGCTTCGCCTTGTTTGAGGTCCAGCCTTTCCCACTAAGGTGTGAGTCTTACCTGACAAAAAGAGTTCCTGGTTCATTTCATTCAGTTATTCACAGGTATCAACTCTGACCTCACACCAGCACAGGGTAAAGACCAATCCTGGGTTTCCTCCATCGCAGGCAGATTCTTTACCCTGTGCTGGTGTGAGGTGAGAGTTGATACCTGTGAGTGACTGAATGAAATGAACCAGGAACTCTTCTTGTCAGATAAGACTCATACCTTAGTGGGAGTTTGATCCCTGGAGTAGGAATGGCAACCCACTCCAGCCTATTCTTAGCTGGAGAATTCCATGGACAGAGGGGCCTGGCAAAGAGTTGGGACACTGGGTGAGTAACACATCATATTAGAAACCAAGGCACTTGAGACAAGGGCCCCTTGGCCATTGAGGTGCCCACTGGCATACAGTGTTGTTTTGTTTTTTTCTAAAAAACAAACTTTGATTTGGCTGATTCTGATTGTTATTTCATTTTTGGCCAAATGAAAGCCATTTATCAATTTTTAGTAGTTGGACACACTCCTGTTGTTGAAGGCTGCAAGTTTATCAGTTTTATTTTTGTCTTCATATCCAGTAAGATTTCTCCTGTATTGATGGCCCTCCCCACTGTTACAGGATGTAGGTGGGCTAATAATAGTAAGTGAAATACATTTTTGAAGTAATACAGGTTGAGTTATTGTCAGGTGCCTATTTTCTAATGAAGGACAAAAAGACATGAAGTGTCCAAACTGGTAGATAGTTCCAAACTCACTTTTGTTTACCTTTGGATATGTTTTGTAGTAATAATTGATTATTATGTTCAGTTTTTAAATTGTATAATTTATAATTTGACATTAGTACAGAACAGAATGATATATTTGTATATTGTGAAATGACCTCCACGGTAAGTCTGGCTAACATCAGATCATCTTCCCATTTTTCAATTGAAGTGTTTTTTGTTGTTTGTGCTGTTGAGTTGGATGATTTCATTATATATTTTGGGTATTAACCCCTTATTAAATACGTGATTTGTAAATATTTTCTCCCATTCTGTAGGTTGTTTTTAAATTTGTTATGCTCTGCAGAAGCTTTTTAGTTTGATGTGGTCCAACTTGTTGATTTTTGGTTTTGTTACCTTTACTTCAGAATCAGATCCAAAAAGTCATCTCCAAGACTTAGGTCAGGGAGGTTACTGCCTAGTTTTCTTCTCGGAGTTTCATGGTTTCAGGTCTTACATTCATGATTTTAATCCATTTGGAGTTTTTCCCCCCTCTGCTGTATAGCTTAAGGGATCTTCCTTGCCAGTTGTTGAGCTGCTAAGTCATGTCCAACTCCCAGTGGACCCCATGGACCGTAGCCCACCAGGCGCCTCTGTCCATGGGATTTCCCAGGCAAGAATAATAGAGTAGGTTGCCATTTCCTTCTCCCTGGGATCTTCACTCCCCAGGGATTGAACACGAATTTCCTGTGTTGCAGGCAGATTCTTTACCACTGAGCCAGTGGCCACTGCAGTGAAATCACCAATCCCCGAGTCCTCACTGCTGGACCTTTTGGAAATTCATGATTTTGAGTTAACTTTCGTGTACAGGATAAGATAGGAGTTGAGTCTTGTTCTTGCATGTGCCTGTCCAGTTTTCCAGACACCATTATTGAGAGACTTTTCTTTCTATTGTATATTTGTCGCTCCTCTGTTGTAAATTAATTGACCATTTATATATATGGGTTTATTTCTAGTCTCTATTCTATTACCTTGATCTGTTTTTATGCCAGTGTCGTACTATTTTGATTACTATAATGTGTACAACTTCGTGGGGTTTTTTTTTCTCTTTTTGTTTTTGTCTTTTTTACCACTTCGTTTTTCCTCAAGATTGGCTTTAGCTATTCAGGGTCTTTTCTGGTTCCATAAAGATTTTAGGATTGCTTGTTCTTTTTCTGTGAAAAATGGCGTTGGAATTTTAATAGGGATTGCCTCAAATCTGTATATTGCTATAGGTAGTATGGGCATTTTTTAAACTGCTGTTTCAGTCTGTGAGCACTGAATTTCTTTCTGTTTGTGTCTTTAATTTCTTTGATTAATGTCTTGAAGTTTTCATTGTGCAGGCTTTTCACTAAAATTTTTATGCAGTTGTAAGTGGGAGAATATCCTTGACTTGTGTTCAGTATTTCTTCAGTGCAAATTAGTACCTGGGGTGTTGGAAAAGGTATAGTATGTTTCTCCATTTAGATTCTTATTGGCTCCTAGTCTGCTAGGAAGACTGTCTTCACAAAGTCAGCCAGCTTTCCTTCAGGCTTTGTCTGGGGGCAAGAGGGGGGGTGGTGGTAATGGTGCTTTTAGGTGCTAATAAATTATAATCCTCTGTGATGATAACCAGCCCAAGGAGTGCGAGCCGGCAGCGTCCCAGGAGCTCACCTGAGTGGAGCTTTGGACGCCCACAGGCAAGGCCTCCTGAACCTGGCGTTGTTGCGTGCCAGGGAGAAGGTGACAGTCGTTACTAGTTTACTTTACCAGGCATTGAGGTTATCCTCACCATCTTAGTAGAAAATCTCAGTGATGAAATGGATGACAAGTACTCAGTTCTTATGTATGCCGGGTCTCTTCCAGGCCTAACAGATAGGTACTGATGCTGTTCCAGTGTCAGATGAGGGAGGTGGTTTGAGTGCATTTGATTGGTAGGGCTTTTTGGACTCCAGCATATTAGCTCATAGCCCCATGCTGTGTTACGGGAGGACTAGTGGAGGGGCAGCGGCGCGTAGACTTGCACTCTTCTAAGAGCCCTGGAGGGTCACACGAGTTGTGGGTTGTTGTCTGCCTCAGGGTAGTGAGGATTCCGGGGGTCACGGTGGCTCATGCAGTATTGCGTTGAGTCCTGTATCAGAACTCGCTCTTCCTTCCTGCTGGGTCTCACTGCCGTGGTGTGGAGGTGCTGGGTTTGAACTGGAAGGCTGAGACAAGCCTCTGCCCCCTCACCAGGTAATGCCCTGTTGCGGCGGCTCGTCCGTATTGGGGTGCTGGACGAAGGCAAGATGAAGCTGGATTACATCCTGGGCCTGAAAATTGAGGATTTCTTGGAAAGACGCCTGCAGACCCAGGTCTTCAAGCTGGGCCTGGCCAAGTCCATCCACCACGCCCGCGTGCTCATCCGCCAGCGCCACATCAGGTACCGCCTCAGGGCTCCCGCGGCCTCCCCCTCGCTGAGCCCATTGCCCCTGTCTTCTGTGCAGCCCTCGGAGGTGATGGTGTGAGCTCACCTTAAGGAGACAGTGGTCCCTACAGACAGCTCATGGGGGGCTGGGGGCAGCCTCACCCCCCAGAGCCCTGCGCAAGGGTCACTGCGGCTGGAGCCGTACACCTTGCGAAGGCTCCAGCAGGCGAGCCGGGAGCTGGACAGGTAACAGCTCTTGGTGTCCCGTGGAGAGCCGTCCCTGGAGCTCAGCTGACTGGGTGGGTTGGGCCCTTGTGGTCACACAGCGCACTCTCCTGGCAGCTGCCGTGGTGAAGAGCAGAGGCCAGATGGATCTCTGTCTGGGTGCTCAGTTTACCCCATAGACATAGGGCCCCGGTCACGGGGGCTGTGTACTGAGCCGGCTACTAGCCTCTCAGTAGCCCCCGTGACTCATGGGCAGGAGCCTCATGCTGCTTGTCTGAAATGAAACCGCCCTGGTCTTTGTGGGGTGCTGCTTGAGAGACAGTGAGAGGACCCCTGATGGAGATGAAAGCTCAGTGGGAGGCACGCAGTTCAGAGCTGTCTGGCAGACTTCAGTGTTTTAAAAGCAGGTCTCAGTGTGAACACACTGCCACCCCTGCGTTCGTTCTGGGCCGGGATTCCCCCGCCCTCCGTGAGAGGTGAGCGAGTGTCCAGGACATGGGCGCTCCCGAGGTCCCGGAGCGCGCGCTGCGCCTGGAACACCCTGCCGGCCGCGGCCCAGCCCTCACCCGCCGCTCCCCCCCAGGGTCCGCAAGCAGGTGGTGAACATCCCATCCTTCATCGTGCGCCTGGACTCCCAGAAGCACATCGACTTCTCCCTGCGCTCCCCGTATGGCGGGGGCCGCCCGGGCCGCGTGAAGAGGAAGAACGCCAAGAAGGGCCAGGGCGGGGCCGGAGCTGGCGACGACGAAGAGGAGGACTGAGCCCGGGCAGTGCCCTGGGCTGTGCCCGAGCGGCTGGCGTGCCTCAGATAATAAAGCAGGATATCCACACTGTGGGACTAGTCTTTACTGCTGTCTCCTTCCCCCTCTGACACACACCCTTCGGCAGCAGCTGCGGTCCGCCGCCTTGGGCTGGTGGCACGCGTGTTTGGGAGCAGCTGAGCTTCGTTCCCGCCCGTGGGGCTGTTGCTGGATGGTGGTCCTCGTTCCCCTTAGGCCTGGGTTTACTGTATCCTGACACACATCTACACATCACTCCGTCACACTTCCAGGGGACCCACAGTATGGGCAAAGACAAAACTAGGAGATTCACTCGCGGTCCCAGTGAACCCGCCTTGCCCTGCTGTGATGCGGGTTCACGGTCAGTCCCTGGTGGAGGAAGTAAGCCCTTGCTTCCCAGTGAACACCCAACAGCCAAAACCAGTTCTCGGAGAGGGGCCATTTCCCAGACAGGAAGGGGGAGCCCTGCCACCAACTCCCCCCTGCTGAAGACCTCGTGGTCAGGCGGGAGGCAGGCTTCCCTTTTCTGTCTTGGTCTCAGGAAATGAGAAATAGGGGTTGAGCAAGCCCAGCAGCTGCAGGCATGCTCTGGGGGCCTGGGGCTCTTCTGCCAATCTGTGGGTTACAGCTCAAGATTTGCCAAGTCCTGTGAAGCCTGCAGCATTGTGCTCGCGGCCTAGCCTACCTGGGAGGTCCCAGAGCTGCTGGTGTCAGGAGTCCAGGCTGGCTGGGGCTGAACTGAGTGTCCGTGTGGGCAGCTCCTGGGGCCCCTGGATCTGGGTCATCCTGGGCTAGTGCAAGGCGAGAGTGGTGTACACACTGGGCTCTGCTGGGCGCTCCCCCGGCTGCTGGTTGGAGGGTGCGGTTTCCCCCTGTCTGATTGAGTGGTCCAGTTGGGCATAGGTCACATCCTGGGGGGCTTCAGGTGTGGCAGCCTTTGGGGGGTGTAGAGAGAGGGCAGGGGTGTGAGGTGGGCAAAGCCTGGGAGCTCAGGATGCACTCCTTGGGGGTCTTAGGGCTTTGCTAGAGACAGTGACGGGCGGTCTCTGAACCCTGCCCTCCTTCAGTCTCTGTAGCTTCGACCCTCGGGAAGGAGGGAAGTGAAGCCATTTGAAATCCTGTGACGGGTTGCTAAGTTTGATGCTGGGGGAGGACAAGGCTGGAGGTAGGAGTTGGGGGTGGTCCTCCTCACGGAGAGACAGACCCCACTGCGCCCTGCACGAGAGCTAGGGGTCACCAGGGCTGCCATGGGAGCTGGTCCTCACTGCGGTGAACAGACAAGGTTCACCCGACTGGGGGCAGATGGCTGAGAACTGAGTGAGGATCTCAGAATCCTTTGGATGTTAGAAGGCGCCCCCTCTGGCCCTGTCTTCAGGTCCAGGGCTTGCATGTAGCCCCCTTTTGTGGGGCACAGACCGTTCAGCCCTGCCAGCTCAACCTGAGCATTCAACAGCGTGCTGGTCGGAGGAGCCGGGTGTGGGGCGTGGCAGCCCAGGGAGCAGGTGCTCGTGGAAGGTGCCTCCTGGCCTCGGGGTGCCCTCCGTGCGTCAGTGGGGGAGGGGTCTCACCTGGCTGGCCCGCGCTCTGCTGTGCTCCAGCCGTGCGTCTTCCGTGACGGCACCTGGTGGGGACAGTGCAAGGGGGGCCCGGCTCCTGCTTAGACCCCCTCCCACCTCCCACAGCTCGGTGATGGGGCCGCCGCCCCCCAGTGTCAGACTCGTGCGCTCTCCTCCCCAGCCCAGAGCCACTGCCAACCAATCCCTGGCGTGCACTGCCTGCCCGCCCTGCACCCAGGACAGCACCCCCCTTCCCCTTACAGTACAAGCTCTCCTCCGGGGCGTCAGCAGCGGGGCTGGAGCTGGGGAGGAGAGAGCAGTGTTGGGGCGGAGGGAGCCCTGGGCAGGCGGTGGGGTGGGAGTCTTGGGGCCGAGGGAGCCAGGCAAGGCGGTGGGGTGAGTCTGTGAGAGGTCTCACCTCTTCTGCCGGCCTCTGTCCTCAAGCACTGACGCTGCGGCTGCTGCGGGAAGATGGGAGTCAGCCTCCAGCCCACCCCAGAGCCCTTGTCTAGGGTTGCAGGAAGATCTGCAAGGGTCTCCAGGCTGAAAAAGTGATCATGTCTTCCCTCCTCCATGAAGAATCCAAGAGAGGGGCTTCCCTGGTGGCGCAGTGGTAAAGAATCCGCTTGCCAACGGAGGGACATGGGTTTGATCCCTGGTCTGGGGCGATTCCACATTCCACGGAGCAATTAAGCCACAACTACTGAGCTTGTGCTCTGGAGTCTGGGAGCCACGACTGCTGAAACCCGCTGAAACCCGAGCACCCCCGAGCCCAGGAGCTGCGGCAAGAGAAGCTGTCGCAACGAGGAGCCCGAGCCCTGCAACCAGAGCGAGCCCACGCACAGCAACCAAGACCCAGAGCGGCCAGTGAAGGAGACTCAAACACTGCTTAAAACTCCGAGCGCGCTAAACCACACATACAGAGCTTGCACGCACTCTCAGGTGTTGTGTAAGTTTGAAAACACCAACAGGCACTATAGATGCTCACGTGCGCTCAGATTTAGTCTCTAGATTTCTCGGCGGGAGACTAGAGCCGTTCTGACCGGACCTCACCCCTCTCTTAGGTTTCCCTTTGGCTGGTGCCCTAAGCCCGCCGCCTCCAGGGGTCCTGGTCACCCCGTTCCCTACTCACCTGACTTCCTGCGTCTGTCCCGACCCCGGTGCCGGAGGAAGAGGAGGACCAGGAGCAGCAGGACGAAGGTCACCGAGGCCCCGATGAGGACACTCAGGTACCAGGTGAGGCCTGGGGCACCGGAGACGACTGAGTGAGCCAGCGATGCCGTTTAACTGAGCACCTGCTCTGTGCGGACTCCTGCTGGGGTCTGTGTCTCCATCTCCAACCCATCCCACCCACTTTACAGATGGGGAAACTGAGGCACAGAGACGGAGATCACGGGCCCCAAGTCGCCCAACCTGGAGGTGGCGGAGCTGGGACTGCAACCCAGGGTTCCCTCGTATTTTTTAGAGTTAGTTTTTGTGCTTTCACTTCCAGGCAGAACACCAGTTCAGAGACACGTGCATCAAGCCCAGCTCTCTGCCAGCCCAGCCAGATCTGTCTCCCACCCTGCAGAGGCCTGCGTCCCCCTTCCCCGTCCCCTTGCCCGCCCCCACCACGGGGCCTGCATGGATGTGGAGTGTATGTATGAGAGGGGCAGTGGGGAGGGCTCTGGCCTTCCAGAGGCCTAAACAGGCCCTGCGCTGCAGGCTGTCGTGCTGAGGAAGGAGTTGGGAGGCCCCCTCTGTGGAGGGTGGGCCTCGGACCCTGAGAAGAGCATGACTGGTCCAAGATCCCAAGGCTGGAAGTAGCAGAGCCATGTGACTCCCACGCCCGGCTGTTTGCCTGGCACCACGGCTGCTCCTTGGGGGGCCGGAGAGCTCAGACACTGTCCCATCCAGTGTCGCTGCATCCCCGTCCTTGCCGTTGAGGCTGATGCCAGTGAGAAGGGGCTGTCCTGAGGCCATTACCTCGGGAAGCGACGGAGCCCCGACAGCTGCTCCCACCCCCACCGCCCCGCACAGGGCCTGACTCACCCGGGCCTGATTCCAAGGCAGGCACGAGCTGATTCCCGGAGCCTCCTGGGGGTCAGGGTGGAGATGAGCGGCGGCCTGCTTCCCCCTTATCAGCCCTGCTGCCCTCCCCCAGCTGGGCCCCAGCATCTCCCTCTGCATGACCCCCACCCGTCATCCACATCTCAGCCCTGGGAGCCAGGGCCTGTCCACTCGCTCCCTTCCAGGCCGCGGGCTCTGCTAGCTGCTCTCTTGTGCTCCCTCTGGGCGAGGGGCCACGAGGACTGGAGGCCAGAGGAGGGTGGGGCCCGGGGGCGCTGGCCTTGAGTCCTGCTGGTCGGCCCCGAGGCCTCTCTAGCTCTGCTCCATCACCAGGAGCGGGTCTGGACGGCCGGGATGAGGGCGAGGACAGGTAGGGAAGGGAGGCCCCTGGCTCTTTGCGGCCCCCTCAGGGTTGATCTCCCCCTCTGTGACCCCCCACTCCCACTCAGCCCAGAGCTCCCCTGGGGACAGGGCCCTGGCCTGCCCCGGAGGACACAGAGGACCAGGGCTGGGTCCTCACCTGAGACCAGGAGCTCCAGGGGGTCACTGGGGAGCGACAGCAGGTGTGGGGCGGCGCTCTGTGAGCTGTAGCACCTGTAGGTCCCACTGTGGGCCGAGGTCACAGCTCTCAGGGTGAAGTTGGCCTGGACGGGCGGAGCCGTGTCCTGCAGACGCAGGTGCTGGGGAGGAGCGGGCGACCCCTCCTTGGACAGATGGAAGGTGTCTGAGCGGACCTCAGAGCGACACTGCAGGGTCACGTTCTCTCCCTGGGGCACTGAGGTCCCCGGGCGGGCGGAGAGGGAGGGTTTCCTGTGCATTCCTGGGGGAGGACGGGGGTGATGAGCAGAGAGCCCCTCCCCACACCCCGGACCCTGAGCTGGGGGGCCTCCCTGGGAGCCCTCCCAGCTCCTCTCAGCCCGTCTGTGTGGGTCTCCTTAGTCTCCGTGCCTCTCACTCCTGTTTTCCCGTTCCCCCCCCAGGCCCCTGCCCCACCTCGGTCTCTGCTCCAGGACCCTCTCCCGGGACCCGTCACCACCAGGGCCGACCCTGGTCCAGCGCCCTGAGCAGACAGTCGGGACCTGGGCCGGGACAGGGGATCCTCACCCGCGATCAGGATGTCCAGGGGGGCGCTGGGGGCCGACCACGCGTGGGAGAGGTTCTGCCCGCTGTAGCATCTGTACCGGCCCCCGTGGGCGCGGCTCACGCGGCCCAGGGGGAAGTCGGGGTTCTGCTGCCCTTCTAGGCGGCGGGGCGGGCTGAGCCGCTCGTCCTTGGTCAGAGCGAAGCTGCCAAAGCCGGCCTCTGAGCCACACCGGAGGGTCAGGTTGTCTCCGGGGAGCACGAGCGAGCCGGGCTGGGCGGAGAGGGAGGGCGCCCTGGACAGGCCTGCAGATGGGGCGGAGGCTCGTGGCTGCACGCCCGCACTGCGCCCGGGGCTGCGGAGACAGCTCTCCCTGCTCCCTCCCGAGGCTCCCGCCCGCGTCCTGCCCCAGGAACCCAGTGTCCCTGCCCCTGTCTCCCCCAGGGCTCATGGGCACAAGGCTTAGGTCAGGGGTCTGTCGAGGAAATAGAGGGGCCTGGGGCCTCACCTGTGACCTGGAGATGCAGAGGGTCACTGGGTTGTGACCACAGATAGGGCACATCGCTGGGAGCATCATAGCACCTGTAGGTCCCCCCGTGGGAGCTGGTCACGGGGCCCACAGGGAACACAGCCTCTTCCCGCCCTTGGTTCCCATAGTTCCTCGACGTCTGGTATCGGGGCAGGTCAGCACCTCCCTCCTTCAGCAGGTGCAGCGTGCCCGCTGCATACTGTGAACTGCACATGAGGGACACGCTGCCTCCTGCAGCCACCACAGGGCTGGGCTGGGCGGACAGGGAGGGCGCCCTGTACACTCCTGGGGGCGAGGGGCTGTGTTAAAGGGGGACCTCCACTCCAGTGACCCCAGGTGTGGGCTGGGAGGGCAGGGGCCCCCTGAGCCCACACTCTGCTCCTCTGCCTGTGGGGAGGCTCCCACCCCCCGCCCCTCCCTCTTACCTGTCACCACCAGGGGCAGGAGGTCACTCTGCTCTGACCAGCGGTTCCTGCTGCGATATGCACACTGATACTGCCCGGCATCACGTGAGCTCGTGTATTCAAAGTGGAACCCGGCCTTGTTCCTGGAGCTCTGAGGGGCCTGAGCCTCCCAGTATACAGAGCCCCTCTCTTTATACAGATGGTAGACATCTGCCATCAGAGACCCCTGACACCAGATGGTCACCGGGCTCCCCTGGGCGACCATGGCGCCTGGGTCAGCCCGGATGGAGGGTTTGGGGAGGACCTCTGGAAAGGAATCAGACCTGCGGAGTCAGGGCGCCTTCTCCCCCAGGCTCCCCAGCTGTCACCCGCCCCTCCCAGACGGGCCACCAGCGGCCCCGGCCCGCTGTGGTCCCCAGTGACCAGGGGTGGTGGGTGGAAGCAGGATGTCTGGGGTCTCACCTGGTTGTCCCTGGTTCCCCGGGCCCCAGCACAGCCCTGGAAGAGAGTTCCCTGTGAGCACCCAGCTCCATCACATGTCCTGGATGCTCCAGGTCTGCTCTGCACCCTGAGGGCTGGGGTCAGATCTGGGCTGAGGACATTCGCCTCTCCCCCAAGAAAGTCTGTCCCCACCGAGCCTCCTGCGTCCTGGGGCTCTCAGGGACCAGATGTGGGAGGAGGGGGTCCCCACCCCCTCCCTTCCCTGAAGCTCACCGAGGCAGAGAAGGGCGGTGAAGGTCAGGGTCGTGGCGCTGCCTCTCATGGTCCCCAGCAGAGCAGGTGACTTAGAGAGAGCTCAGAGCCCGCAAGGCCGGACAGACGCACCGGGCGTGAAGGTCCAGGCTCAGTGGCGCACGTCCCGGGCTCCTCCTGAGCCTCGCTCCGCCCTCACTGAAGGGTGGGGCTGAGGCGACCGTGGCCTCTGGGGGCCTTGCTCACCAGATCAGACTTACTGACACCCGCCTGCACACCCGCTCCCCCTCGCCACTCTCTGCCTTTTCTGCCACCTCCTTTTGCCAAGTCTGGATTTGGAGAGTGACCTCACATCCCAGAGTGTGAGTCTGCAAGAAGCCGGGCAGGCCCAGGAACCATCTGAGTTTAGTCCCGGTTCTTAGTCTGCCTCCCACAAGGGTTGTGTGATCTTGGGCAAGTAGCTTCCCTTTCCTGAGCTTCTGCAAACGTTCTTCCTTTCTTCCGTCAGCTGGTCCAGTTCGTCAGTATTTGTTGGGCAATGGCCATGTTCAGCCATGGTGACAGAGCCTGGAGTTTCCTTGGTGATGCCAGCAAATTCCTTCCCTGGACTTGGGCTCAGATTAATACAAACAGATGTGACAAGCATTTACACGGCAAACAATTCAGCTAACTCTTGGGAGACTGTTAGGAGTTGGAAGAAAACAGGGAACCATGCGTATCTTTAATAGACAGACGTCATGAAGCCTGACTCCTGGCTGGGAGGTGTGTCTGACGGGTGAACAAGCAGGAGCTACCAGCTCAGGGGCGGTGGTGGAGGCGGCGGCATCCCAACCAGACAGACCTTGAGCTGCTCTCAGAATTGAGAGCAATGTGGGTGAAGGCGGGGGCGTCGCCACACTGGGTCTTGAGCGCCATGTAAATGTTTCGGGTTTTATCTTTAAAGCAGTGGGGAGGTTTCCAGCAGCGCACAGTATGAATTGATCTCTAGTTTAGAAAGATTACCACCATGTGGAGAGTGTGACGCAGGAGGGCTCTACTGATGATGGACCCTGTTCACAGTAAAACACCAGCGTTGGTCCGGCTCCTGCATGGCGTGTTGACCAGTGTTTTAAGTCGTTCATGAAGACACAGCTTACATGAACCTATAATTTGAAATATATTTACACTGGCCTTCCTTGGTAGTTCAGATGGTAAAGTCTACCTGCAGTGCGGGAGACCCAGGTTTGATCCCTGGGTCAGGAAGATCCCCTGGAGAAGGAAATGGCAACCCACTCCAGTGTTCTTGCCTGAAGAATCCCTTGGACAGAGGAACCTGGCAGGCTACAGTCCACGGGGTCACAAAGAGTTGGCTGTGACTGAGTGACTTCACATATTTACAGTGGAATGAAAAAGGAAGGCTTCTTGGTCCGGCAGGTTGGAAGGGACTGGGCCCTGTTCAGACTGGCTGAGAGGACGGTCTGTGGAGGCACAGAGTTGTTAAGTAGGTCTGTGTACATGGGTGCTTGGGGATGTGTGGTCAAGTGTGATGAGTCTGGTCTAGGAGGGAGAACTGTTTAGTGGGGCTGACCTGCCACAGCCTGGAATATGGGGCGGTGCACCTGGACCACGATTTTGAAGGTGGAAACTGTTGAAAGGATTTTGAATGGGGCAGGCTCAGACCTGAAACGATGATGGGAAGAGTCGTTTTGGAGGTGGTGAGAGATGAACAGGAGTAAGGGGCGGGGCCTGAACTGGAGGACCAGGAAGGAGGCTGATGGGAAAACACAGACAGGACGTCTGCGGGCAGATCAGGGACCTCGTTCAAGGGCTCCAGGGGCACAGGGGTGTGGAGCTGTGGTTGGGTGTGAAGTGCGGGAGGCTGGGGAACTGAAGGTGCTTCCCCTGTCTGCCTCGGTTGCCCAGAGGAGCCAATGGGGCAGTCATAAACAGGATGACCCCAGGAGAGAGAGATGCATGGGAGATGCTTGGAACACTGACCCCCGTTCTTTAGCATAAAGTGCAGCCCTCCCTCCTGACCTGGGATGGTGGATTCTCTTTTCCTCTGCACTGACTGACTTGTTTCTATAATTCAGCACCATCTTTTCTCATTGCCCGTCTTCTAAACCCCTGCATCACTGCTGCCTCCTCAGTGCCCCTTCTTACCCTGAGCAGAACTTTTCATCTCAGTCTGTGAATTCTTTCTCTAGGCAAAGGGGAAGGACACAGGCTGGAGGCAAAAAAAAGGTTTTTAAAAATGAACACAGACCCAGGATCTCTGAGACAGTCATTGATCACCCGGGCAAAGGAGAGTGATATCAATGAAGAAAAATAATTTTGAGAAAGTAAATACTGATCATTTTACAGACTTGATGAAAGCCATAAATTTACACGTCCAAGATGCTCATCAGATAACCTTCAAAAACGATGCCCAAACAACACAATCATATTCAAATCAGTGGGGAAACGTTTTTTAAAACCATGTCCACACACATCACAGTCAAAATGGAATCAGTGGGAAAAAATGGAAAGCATCCAGATAAAAGGACCAGGTTACATACAGAGGAAAAATGATTTGAATGATTTCAGATTTCATATCAGAAGCCACTATGGTCTAAGATTGATAGCTCTGAGAGACGAGAAGAGCCAACGTGGAATTCTTCTGGGTATATTCTTCAGGAGTGAAAGCAAAATAGTCATTCTGAGAGGAAAGAACACTTGAGAGAATGTACTGCCTGTAGACCTTCTTTAAAGGAATGAAAAGGCTAGTTCTTCAGGCAGAAAGGAAATAATTCTCAAGGGAAACTTGGAAATTCAACAATAAAGGAAGAACAAAAAGTGGTAAATATCTAGGTGAATGTAATAGCACATTTTTCTCATTTCCTGTATATGTGACTGTTGAAAGCAAAAA